GGGACAAACACACCTGTCTTTGGTCTACTCTTAGAAAGACTTTCTATGCTCCTTGTGGTGGAGAGGAATGAATGTGTGCTGTGTGTGTTTCTTTCTCTCTTTTTTTTAAAAGTGTGAGTGACAGGTTGGCAGCTCAGGTGAATATCTGACCTAATCTGTGTGCAGGTGGGTGATCGGCGTAGAGAAAGGAATCGCTTTGTCATTGCACGTGCTTCTTGTTAAACAAGTCACTCCTCTATCCTCGACCATGATTTGCTTTTTTTCCCCCATCTCTTTTTTTCCAGGAGCTTGATGCACAACTGAAGGTGCAGCCAAGGTATGGTGATTAGAGATGGTTTTGTTGATCCGCAGGAATGATCGTGGTATTGATAACATTTCAAACAAACTCATAATCAAAGGGTTTCCTGTTGGAGTTGTAATCTTTTCTGAAATGGGGCCTTTGTTAGCTCGGTGTCATTTGGTTGACCGGGAATTATTTGGTGGTAAGCTAATGGGGCTGGTTTTGAGTGGTGCAGCGCCAGGGGATCGTATAGGGGGCTCCAGGTGGTGTGCCCCGGGGCTCTGATGTGCTGCTCCTTTTTAATCCCAGATGACATTGCAAAATCCCCGAAGCCTGCCCCCTGTGTAAGACTGTATAGGAGCACAGAGCAGATGATTTGTTTAAGAAGCACATATCATGTATCAAACTGTGGAAATAAGGAGCTCCACTGTTTTATGTTAAGCCTGAGACCAGGTTATTACTTTATATTAAAGATAGGTATTTCTGTTCTTTTTTCTAAAGAGGGACATTTGTGCGATTTCGCTCATAAAGCATCATAATCCATGGTTTTCATTCATCGATTATATTTGATCAAAATTTGAGCTTTTAATTGGAAAATTGTATTTATATATTTATTTTTCGCAGTTCTGATCATTTCGCGCCAAACAGGTTGTTAGTTAATGTTGAATAAGTAGCCCAATTTTCAAGCTTAACATGAATAACACATTGTCCTTTATGTGTGCCAAGAGTCCCAGAATACCTTGGCTGTCGGTGCTGGTGAGAACAATGGTCTCCCAGTCCTCCTGTCCAGAAATAGTCTATAGCTCACTGATGGAGAACATATTTCCCAATAGCAGGTGTCTTAGCCATTCAGTGCTTGATCCTCACCATGACTGTAAATGAAAGGGCCAGCCCGTCCAGGTGCGGGAGCACCCCTCGGTCCCTCTCAGGTTTCTCCTTGATGGAGGAGCTGTTTGTGGAAGACTGGGCAAGGTAAATATTGACATTATACTATGTGCATTGCTATTAAAATGCATTTATTATCCACTTTAGAATATGCAGTTGTGTGCATAAGGGTAATTTACTAAATTAGGGTAATGACACTAATTGTTATACTGTGCATAGTTCATTTTTTTTTTAATAATCGTGAGTCTTCTTACAAAAGATAGTGTGTGCGATGACTGCACTTTAGTCTATTTTGGACAAACTGTTGAAGCAACCTAAATTAAAATTGTCTTGTGCTTAGCGGTCACTATTAAGCCAAACATAGTATAATCTTATGAAATATTCATATAACACATTGATAGTCAGTTTGACATATCTTTATTTCATTTTAAGGATCAGCTGGACTCCAACCAAAGCCATTCAAGGCAAACCTTCAAACGCTAGAAGAGTTTTAGCAGTTAGTCCACTGCGAGGATAATGAGCTCTCAGATGTGTCATGTATTTGCCTGAGAAATTAAGCCAATTTGTGGAAATGGTGGCCTGGGGTTGGGGGAATACAGAGTGGCTTGTAAAGATGAGTGATATCTGGCACAGCATGAAGAGAATGAGAGGTGTGCTGCCCGGTGCTTAGCTCAAATGAAAGCTCTGATTAGTGGAGCAAAGATCAAAATGACAGAGCGGTGGAGGCTTCAGCTGGGCCTTTGTTATTGATAAGTCTGTCATCTCCGCTGATATTGGAGCAGTAATGGCAGCTGATGATTAGGCCACTCCTGAGCTATTAACTACATTTCTTATCCTTTTACTGGGGCCCAAGAGAGCCCGCTCGAGAGACAAAGGCCTCCTTTATGAAGCTGGCTTCTTAAACGGCGTCCACCTGACCTAAAAGGCACAACTGTTACGTCTTTCTGCCAGGCCAAAGAAGTCGGGGACGAGATACATGTCAGAGGTCGCGGTGCGCTGCTGTTTGAAATGAAGGGGTTCTGAGTGAGTAAGCTGCTGAAAGAGGGCTGCAGCGAAATTACAGAAAATTGGCTGTTTTGTCAACATTTCATCAGAAGATTTACAGAAAGCTGACCCCGACCCTTTCTCTCCCCCCGCCACGTCTTTCACAAGGCTAAGGAGATTGAGTGGGTTGGAATTGACTGACAAACAAATCTCTTCTTTATTTCTTTCTCGCTTTCTCTTTCCCTTTCTAGAAGTGATATTCAATATGATCTCTTTTTAATGATCCTAAGTGGCTGAAATTACATATCCTCAACACATATTGTTGAGGTTGTTCTCATACCAGCGCACACTAAGGGCATAAAAAGTAATTATCAAAATGGCTTAATTCTCTGGTGAAAAGAGAAATACGCCATTTATTTTGTGTTATTATACCATAGTGTACGAAGATCAAGTACGTCCTTTTTAATATTTCTGTTTATGTGATGGTACATCGCGACTGTGTCGGTGATAATTATCATGTGTGGCCTGGGAATAATAAGAAAGGCAATATTTTTTTAACTTGGCTTGCCAGAGTGCACTAGATTGGTGATTCCCAGCCAGGAGTACTTGTACTCCAGAGGTTTTACAGGTGAGACAGGGAGGACATGGAAAATGAAGAAGAAGAAGAAGTTCAACTAGTACTTAAAAAAAAGACAAAGCATTAAACACACGTAAAACACAAAAATCAGACAAAAGTAAGGTGAGGGAGCTACTTAAATAACTGAAAGTTGGTATATCTAGCATAACGTGCAGAGATAAAGGCGGTGAATACATTATTGAGGATAAATTGATCAGTTAAAGATGGTAAAAAACAGTTAAGTAAGATTTTTAAAGGGCAAGTAGCTTAATATAGCTTCAGGAGAGATAAATAAATAGTTGTAGAGGTAAGCAGTTGATCTTCCATGCTTGTTTAGCTTCTCCCGATCAAAATGCAGTCAAAGCATTACTGTATAACAATAATAACTTATATAACGGTTTACACAGCCAGTTTAAATGTTTGGAACGTGACAGGTGGTGTCAGTGCAACGGTATCTGACTTAATATCATAGTCCTCTGGTCTGGACAAAAGTTTTTTGGGAGGGGGGGTTACTACGCTGCATACAAGCTTGTTTTGGGCATAGCGTTTCCGTCTTTAGCTGCGTGCTTTGTCTCCGACCTCAGCTCAGTCTGCTCTCTGTCTTTGGTATTCCTCTACAAAGGCCAACAGGAATCCTAGGCTTGTTGATTTAGCCCCCAGTGGCCGGAGGCAAAGCATCTTTCATTAACGTCTAAAACCTCAGGAATGAGATACTGGCCTCGTGATAAGATCTGGTAATGCAGTAACATGGAATTATGGAAGAAGAAAATTGCCATTTTGTATATAAGCACCTGTGATCTCCCACGAAAGCTCGCTGGGTTCCCCGGCTTGGTTCAGTCCCAGGAGAGAAGACGGTCCTGGAACTCAATCTGTCCAACAGAGGAGAGATTTTCAGGCTGAAGGCCTGGAGCAATGGAAGGTGCTACTGTCTGCTGAGGGGTCAGT